GCACTGAATTATTTGGAAAAAGCCATTTGATTTCATCTCTGAATTGATTTTCTGTATGGCAAAAATAAAATATTGCCTTGCACAAAGCTATTACTTTTATGGTCATCGGCATGTTTCTCTCCATTGTTATCAAAACAAATATTAAAGATTTTGAAAACGATTTCATAAAGAAATTATACTGTAAACACTTACATCCAGATTCCAGCCCATAAAAAAACCCCAATAAAACCTGGGAGATCTGATATCCGATGCCATTTCCAAAAAATGCATAATAGCCATTTTGATGGTCATATTAACCATCTTTCATTTGCTTGTAAGTGAACAACCAAAGTTGGCTTATATTAGACTAAAATCCTCTTAAATATCCTTATGAAAATAATCTCTTTGTTTTTCCCATTATGGTTAATCATCATTTTCCAAATTTTTGTTTTCTCTTTCCTAATGACTTTTACAATAAAATCCAGATATTACATTAATTTTTGGTAATGGACGCTATGCACGTAGACACATAAATACAACTGATACTATTGTAGACACCCATCCACCACACATATGGACATATTCTAGTTTAAATGCACACATCCACATACCCCAATATCCCGACTCTATCTTCCCAACACACACACTAACACATTCACACAAATAGATGAGCTGAGCCTGGTATACCAGGAATTACATTGTTCCTGTGTTGTCGTCTGTCCTCAGTCTGAAATTCACATGAGCAAAAAATGTAATCAAGTGTATTAATCAATATCTCATTATAATCAGGTAACCAGAAAAATTATATATAGACTAAATTCTCCACAGAGCTTTCTCCCAAACTTTTTAGTTTCAACCATATTCCCAAGTGATATTTGTAAGTGTGTCACTATAGCAAGCATGAACAAACAGAAAAAAAGTTCGTCTCTTCTATGGAGAATTTGACTCACTAAATTTAGGGCAGAGTATTGCAGTGTATTAATCAGATTTATGATATATTGCACCATCAATAAATAATTTTTTTCTTATAAATATAATTAGATTATAGGTAATATGTATACCAGAAAAATTTCTGAGAAAGTATACAATGATGAATAACCTTAAATTTCTTCTTTACCCCCACTTAAGCTGTAACCATTTCATCATCTAAAATTTATTCTCTCCTCTTTATGAATTATTGCTAAAACCAGAATTAATATGAAGACCTAAAATATTCTTTACTCACATTGTATGTATAGTAAAGAAAATATGCCTGATTGGGATGAATAAAAGGCAATGAACAATGAAAGAACATTCTATTTATGCTCATAAATGTCATCAGATAAATGCCAATAGATGTAAGCTCTAGTTTTTCACAATGCTTTCAGACCATTTGATATCTGTTGCTTTCATTTTAAAGCCAGAGCATTTTAATTCTATGTTACTACATCGAAAGGTTTAAGTCTCCTCTCTCACTTCAGTGACTACCATACATATGAAGAACACTTTAATTAACAGCCTGGCAAGATAATATTTTGTACATTAAAAATTGAGCACTCTTTTGGGTTTTATTTTTTCACCCAAGTTGGGCAAAAATAGATAGATAAAAATTAAAAAAAAAACTTACTTCAACTTCCTGTCCTAGATGTGGATCTCTTGAAAGAATCATATATATAAAAGTAGATGCAGGAATATTTTCAGGAACAGACACTGAAACACCTATACAATTACACAATCATAAACAATAATTTAAATTCAAATGTCTTTCTTTCACTTCTTGCTTCATGATGGTACCATAAATTACCATGCTGTATTTTCCTTAAAACGGTCTTCTTCATATTTGTTTCAGAGAAACAAAAAACCCCTACAAATACTTACTCCCATTAACATCAACATTTAAAAGAGCCATCATAATTCAGGTTCATATTCCTGCATTTGAATTTTGGGCTACTATATGGAATGGGATATAATTGCTCAAAGTCAATGGTCACTAAGATACGATTTCTACTTTTATTATTTTATATTAGGATATTGAAGCTTTTTGTCTCCTTTCACAATCATGTACAAAAAAATAGAGCACAGCCTATGAAGACAAGAAGAAATGCACTTGAATTCCTGCTCCATCACTATTCTCACCTGTACAATGGGGATAAAGTACATCTCCAATCTTAGAGTAGTTCTAAAGATTAAAATACTATACATAACACATCTCGCAAATGCTCAACAAATGCTACTTACCTTTTTCCAACCACAGCTCCTCATCCTCCTTCCAATGTTACCATGATTCTGTGTAATCCCAAAATCAAATAACATAAATGCACATTTAGACTACTGAGAGTTTCTTTACCTGTTACGTGATTCTACAAATACTTCTTTTAAAAGAAAAAAGGCTTACTGTTTCCTGTGCAGCTGAATCTTGGATACCAAATCCAGTGAATATTGTATCACAATCTAGTCTGGGTAGTCCTGTAAAGGTCTCATATTGTTTGACTTTCTAAGGATATTATAGAATAATATCCTTAGAAAGGATTGGTGTGATTAGGAGTTGCTTATTTTGAACCTTTGTTTCAAACTGAACACATGTAGGCAGATTCTCTAATTTAGTGATTTGTTCTGGTTAATTATAGCAACTGGATAATTAAACCCAGTAAATGATTTGAATATGTGTGTGCCAAATCAGCAGCTTGAAAATCATGGCAATGTCTTTTCTTTGGTAATTGTTGGTCACAGAGACCCACAGAGTTGCCCTACTTTAAACAGAAAGTGACTTCTTGTCCTTTCTTCTCTTATGTCCCAAGACCCACAGCCCAGATGATGGAAGAGAAAGACATCCCGATCTTGATGCTTCCCTAGCAGTTTATGCTGGTTTAGCCAAACTTGTGGTAGAAATCGGGTCAAAATGACCTTCTTGAGATCCATGTGTATCTTTTTAAAGTTTACTATAATTTTGGAAGACTGAAAGGAAATTACAAAGAACATCAACTAAATTGTTTCAAAGTGGTCCAAAAGATCATATCTTCACAAACACCAAACCCATTCATTGGTACATTGCCAAGGCTCACCTAGGAGACTTTTCTTGGTTAAATTTATTTTCTGTGAACAAATTTCTTTAATATAAACTTCTATTTTTAGATAAGTTTATTATTATGCATATCAGAAGATATGTTCTGATTCAAAGTAAGAAATCTGTGTGTTGTGCGTTTTGGAACTTTTGAGTTTCCAAAAAGATGATGTTTCTGAAGATTGAGAAGAGATAATTCTGGTGGTAAGACATAGATAGAGCAGCAATGAATGGGCATCCAGGAAAAACAAAACAAAAAAGAGACTATTTTAATGAAGTTTGCCTTGTTCCACTTGCCCTCAACTTCTTTTTTGTCTTATTGCCTCCCAATTAGTTGGGTAGTTTCTTTTAATAGAAATAGAGAAGGAAAAGCAGTAAAACAAAGAAGGTAGAAGGAATAAAGTCTTTATGGTAGATGAGCAAATAAAGTTAGAAATAAACGGAGAGAAAAAAATGAAAAGACTAACTAATAGAGCAGATATAATTGTTGAGATCCAGTGGAACCAGCCAAAATTAAATCAAGCCAATCTATGTTTTCTGAGATCCAATCATGTGCAAGGCCTCAAATATATTCAAATGTTTTAAAGATTGTGTTTTTAGGGCCTCATGAAAAACACAAATACACGTAAGAGTGAGGTTAGGGAACAGTATATGAGGTTATGATTGGTTTGACACAAAGTATAATAGTATATTTTATCATTTTATACACAAAGACACACTGATTCCAATAGATGATGCATGCTTTCTTTTATGAGGTAAGTAAAAGAATAAAATTTGATTTACAAAAACTTAATTTATCAAACTTTTCAGGACTATGTCTATTGTAATCATACTGAAAGCTACCTCTATATATTACTTTAAATCTATTATAATTTGTACAACTGAAAACTTATTTTAAGCAAGTATTTTTGGAGGCAAGTATAGCAGATGAAATAACTACATACTACTAGGAGTAATGATGACACTTAAGAGGCTGAAATTTTATAAATACAGGTAGAATTTTTAATTTAAGAAACATTAAAAATTAATAGTGGAGCATGTTTACTAAAATCTTGGAAAAGAATAATTTATTATAATCATACAAAAATAAATGATTATATACAAATAGTATATATGTTTATAATTATTTATATGTGGTATATACATTATTATATACACCAAATTAAAGGAAATGCGTTTATAGTTTGTTATCATGTATCATTTCATGCTTATTATTTTTTGAAGATAATCTTTAATGGTTAGATAGCAATTCATCAAATGGACATAGTTTCTTTTAATCAATTTCTTATTCTTAGACATTTTGGTTATTTCAAACTTTATACTATTACAAACTTTGAACATAAATCTTGATTATATCTCCAATATGTCTCTAAAGAAGAATTCAGGGAGAAATACTCATCTACAGATTATAATCATTTTTAAAATAACTGTTTATGAAATAGTATTCTAGGTGGTTATTCTAAAATCCCACTTTATGAAAGTGATAATTTCTGTATATCCTAGCCAATGCTGAATTTTTTCCTATTATTTTCATATTTTGGCCAATTTTGGAGGTGAAAATTATATTTTACTGTTTAGATTTTTATGTTTGATAAATTGTGAGCCTACATATCAATCCATATGTTACAGATACACTCAGAATAATTTTGTCATTACTCCTATCCCTATCTACCACACACAGAAATGATAATTTGAATTCAAATTTGAATTATAGTAACTTTATTTTTTTTTCTTTGTAGGAACATGCTATGTCTCTCACTTTGCTTTTATTTACTTCCCATTTATAAAACTAGAAAGCTTAAACTATAATTCCAAGTTATATTTTTAAATTTTATTATTGTCTCATGAATTTTATCAATAAAATTGACTTGTATTATACCTGTTCCTGTAGAAAAACTTGGGTCACAGGAAATAGGATCATCTACATTCTCCACAAAAACTGTAAACATATAGCTGCTGGTATTATTCCCATTATCTGTTGCCTCAATTTCCAAAGAGTAGATTTTGGAGTTACTTGGGTTGTCAAGATTCAAAGGCTGAAGAAGAGTGATTGTTCCTGTGGCTAATAAAAAGTAAATAAAATGAAGAAAAATGACCACACTTGATAATTAAGTCTATGTTAACTTATTTATATTAATGATGTTTTAATTCACTTAACAGTATACTTTTTTCATACACGAGAAAAGCAATATTTAGCAATTCTACGTCCATTGGAAATACTTTCTTAAAAGCTTCTGTTGGGTGAGGTGGCTCACACCTGTAATCCCAGCACCTTGGGAGGCTAAGGCGGGCAGATCATGAGGTCAGGAGTTCAAGACCAGCCTGACCAGCATGGTGAAACCCATCTCTACTAAAAATACAAAAATTAGCAGGGCATGGTGGCACGTGCCTGTAGTCCCAGTTACTTGGGAGACTGAGGCAAGAGAATTGCTTAAACTGGGAGGCGGAGGTTGTAGTGAGCCAAGATTGCACCACTGCACTCCAGCCTGAGTGACAGAGCGAGATTCTGTCTCAAAAAATAAAATACAATAAAAAAAGCTTCTGTTTATGTTTACATTGTAAATATAATTAAATATTAAAAATGGTTGTATCATATTTTTCTTCAAGTTTCTAAATTATCATTCATTTACTAAGCATAGATAGCATTCCTACTTAAAAAATATCAAACACAAACCAGAATATTTTACTTTATTTACAACAATAAATGATGTTTTTGAGCCTGAAAAATTCGTCAAACCATATTAAAATCTTAATCATTCATTGCTTCTGCCTTCTATCTTAACTCAATCTTATTGTGTACAAAAATGAAAAATGAGCTCAAACGTCAAACTTATAAAAAAAAAAAATGGCAGCAACAGAAGTGGCTCTTTATTTCTGGTACCATCACCTATCTTCCCTCCCAGAATTTCTTCTTTCTTGTTCAAAAATCTTCTACCTTGACCCTATCCTGAATATCTTCATAATTTCCACAAGGCCTTATGGAATCTCTTCTAAATTTTCTCTAGCTAGTACATCATTATTTAATAATGGACTTCTTCTCCCACTGGTATTTGGATCTTGAAGTTAAATGCATAAGTTGCCAACAACTTTCAGGATTCAAATAAATTATCTCAAATATTGAATGATTAGTATGATGGCTTTGTAATGTGCCACATTTGCTAAGCCAAACTGTATTTCTCAGAATTCTATTTTGTGTGTGTGTGTCAGTTTGGTGAGACACAGGGAAATTCTTGGCCAACTTGGAGGGTAGAAGGGTAGCAGCAGCCATTTTGTTTGTTATGCATGTTTTTGTTGATCTGCTGTGTTATTGTTGGTGTGAACTAGCTTCAGCTAAATCTGAAACTGCTTGATCTACTGCTGGATCTTCTTTCAGCTTCTCTGACTCCTAGAACAGGTCTGTATACTCAGCCCTGTGATGAAAGGCTCAGTTTCTTCAGAACACCCACACAAGCAAGGTCAGAAGCACAAAGAACTAACATGGGTTTCAATTCATTCTTATGGGGCCCAGCACATGCTTGTGTGTTCCAGACTACCCTTAACCTTCCCAACTTTGTATGCATCTTCTCTTCCTTACTTCCTGCTTGAGGGGTGAAAGCTTCAGCATCAGACACAAAGTCTTACAGAGACTACTTAACTCACTGCTACAGTGTATTTTTTTTTTTTCTTCTTTTTTCTATGAGATGAAGTCTCATTCTGTCACCCAGGCTGGAGTGCAGTGGCGCAATCTTGGCTCACTGCAACCTCCACCTTCCGGGTTCAAGTGATTCTCCTGTCTCAGCCTCCTGAGAGTAGCTGGGACTACAGGCGCCCACCACCATGCCCAGCTAATTTTTGTGTTTTTAGTACAGACGGAGTTTCATCATGTTGGCCAGGATGGTCTCAAATTTCTTGACCTCGTGATCCACCCGCTCGGCCTACCAAAATGCTGGGATGACAGGCATGAGCCACTGCGCCCAGCCTACAGTGTACTCTTAGTGGTTATTTTTCTCTGGTTGTACCCTGATTGATAAAACCAGCTAGTGTGACAACCCATAAGATAGAAATATTTCAGAACAGCAATCCTATTCACATAGGCAGAAATCTGTTCCTAACAAATATCCAAAACTTAGGCATTCTGGAAAAGTCCCAATTTTCTCAAATCAAATTGAAAAGATAGACATGACATTTCATCCTATAATTTATAAGGATGCACAGAGCATTTGTATTGAGTGCCTCTGAAAAATGATAGCCAGTTATAAAAGCAAGGTATTACATCACCCATTATTTCACAAGAATGTCATTTTCAGAAACAGGAAAACAGCAACTGTCAAATACCACATGTTTGGGGAATGTTTTATTCTTCATATTTAATTTAATTTTGAAAGGTCAGTTTTACCAGCCTAAGATCTAATGAAATTGTAGAGATTAGATAGTGAATGTTTAGCCAACATAGGCTAAAAGTATTTATTTAAAACTTACAGGGGTCCAAACCAAACATTTTCTGCTGAGTCTTAAAGGAATAAATGATACTGCTATCTTCATCTCGATCTGTTGCTTTTACTTTTGCTATAATTTCTCCAACAGATTTCTTCTCAGTCACATTAATAGAATCCAAAGGAAATGGCCTTAAGAAAAAATGGCAATAAAAAATTTTGAGGATGCAAATTTGAGAATTCTTACACACATAATTGCCAAGTTACGATAACCTGGAAATAATCTTTTGGATTTATCATATCACCTTTCTCTTGTCAAGAATTTAACAAGTCCCAAAGCTATTCAAATGTTGAACAAATCCATTTGTGGCACAAAGTTATTTAGCTTTTTGCAAAAGCATTATTTTTTAATCATATAGTCTCTAGCACTATGCACGTCAAAGACATGGCATAAAAGAGATGGAAAATGAAAAACAATTGAAACAGTGCACCTCCATTATTCCAGATATTCAATGCATGGAATAATTGGCAACTGAACATAAAGGACTAAATATATTCGTTTGCATCTTGTTATCTGATATGATGAAATTCTGTCCAAAGTCACCACCTACTAGGGCAAGTTTCCAGAAAGTTCTTGTAAATATATTGCTTAACCTCTTCAAGTTGTATGTAAAAGTCCTTGATCAATTTCCAAAACATTTCTGAAAGTTACATTTAGTTCTTATTCAGCCTTTCATTCAGGCATCAGACATTTATTGATAACCTACCATGTGTCACTCCAGTTAATGCACATATGACTAAGTGTTAGCCCTTGTTCAGATCTCACTGCTAACGGGAAACACAAGGATAAACAGCTATAATACTAGGTAATAGATGCTGTCAATTTGCTGCAAACTTAAAAAAGAGAGAAAACTAATTCTGGGGATAGAAGAGAGGTTCAAGGAAGTCCTCAAAGGAATATAATTTCAAAGGAAAAGTGAGTGATGCCATCCCTTGAGCAACCTTCTTGATCGCAGTAATCTAATGTGGTTTCTTCTCTACAGAGTGTTTTCTCGTTTGTGCCACAATATAATGTAAATTATAATATTTATATTCTGGACCACATTAAATATTTCTCTTCATTAATTGTTACTTAACATGCAATTTCACTTGAGAGATGGAAAAAGGTAGTTGAGGGCAGCATTTTGATAATTTTTGTATTGTTTATAATATCTAGCATTAAATTCTACTAAAAAGTAAAATCAATAAGTTCATGCTTATTGAAGACATGAAGGCAGCAGAAAATTTTTCTAAAAAGTTGATGGTGACTCTACTACAAACACAGGAAAGTGATTCATACAAATAAAGGATAAACTAAGCTCCAAATTACCTTAAGTTGTTCAGATAATATAACTTAAAATGAATTTGGGGAATCAAACAATGAATTATTCTCCTTAGTCATCTGTAGAGATATAACTTAGTGATATAAGGAAAGTAACTTGAAAACTATTTTTCTTTTTCCCTTTCATAATCTAAGAAGTATTTGATTCCTCTTAGATTGCAGTAATACATTTCATTACTACATTTTGAAGTATAGAAAAACATCTAATATTCATTGCGTTCATTATCTGCAAACAGTTTTGAATGCTACAACTATGCTTCCAGAGTATGAAAGTAAAATATTTTAAATTAAAGGCTGTAAGCTTAAGGTCTACCTTTCTTTTTATTTAAAATTAATGTAATTATTAAAAAGCAACATGGCAACTGTGAATAATCTTCAGGAAAGGAAAAGAAGATACACCAAGATCTTTTACCATATTGCAATGTTGGTAACTTCTAAATTTGCTTTCCAGTATTTTCTAATACATATTTTACTTATTATCAGTGTATACCTTAATCATTGATACATAGTCATATGTTTTAACAACATCAAAAAAAATTTGTGTAGCTACATAATCTTTATTATCATTATTTATAACACAGTCGTCCTTGGTATCCATGGGTTTTATATTCATAGATTTAACCAACCATGGGGACAAAAATATTCCCTAAATACGGTATAACAACTACTTACACAGCATTTATACTATATTAGGTATTATAAGTAATATAGAGATGATTTAAAGTATACAAGAGGATGTGCATAGGTTATATGAAAATAAAACTACCGGCATGGTGGCTCACACCTATAATCCCAGCACTTTGGGAGGCCGAGGTGGGTGGATTGGATCATTTGAGGTCAGGAGTTCAAGACCAGCCTGGCCAACATGGTGAAACCCCAGCTCTACTAAAAATACAAAAATTAGCTGGGCATGGTGGCGCACACCTGTAGTCCCAGCTACTCCACTCAGGAGGCTGAGGCAATTGCTTAAACCCAGGAGGTGGAGGTTGCAGTAAGCCAAGATTGCGTCACTGCACTCCAGCCTGGGTGACAGAGTGAGACTGTCTTAAAAAAAAAAAGAAAAAGAAAATAATACAACATTATAAAAGATTCTTGAGCATCCATAGCTTTTGGTATTCAGGGGAGTCCTGGAATGCATGCCCCACAGACACCAAGGGCCGACTGTATATGTGAAAAGTTTATTTTAACCATTCTCCTATATATATACCTTGAAATAAATATGCTTACTCAAATTGAGGCTTCTCATCATTTATGTTTCAATCAAGATAATTAGTGTTCCTTGACAGAACAGACCTGTTGTATCTGTTGCTTTCAGTACAAGGTGGAAAACCTGGAAAAGAGTTTTTTAAAACTTTACAAAATGCTACTTTGTAATACATATATAGTTTCACAATATGCATCCTGTTAGGTTTTTGTTTTGTTTTCTCCAACTAGATTCTTATTTTTCTTCTCATTAGCTAAAAGAAATACAAGCGATTTCTTACTTGCATTTACTTATCTTTCTTAGATTCATTATAAGTTGCTTCATTTCATATGCCATTAAATTTCACTCAAAAGTCTGTGTAGCTTGGTTATATGCCTCATCCAGTGCACTGAAACTATTGACAAAGCAAGCTGTTTGATGCTAAACCCCAGAAATAGGAAGATGGGCTACTCTTTGGGATCTATGACACAAGGAATTTCTGAACAGTTGAGAATGTCATCAAACATTGAATATTCTTCTCCTCAGCCTGTCACCCATCTCACCCCTTAGAAACCATTTATTCATATCAGGAAATGCCCTTTTGAAAACAAAAACAAAAACCAAACACCACTGAGGCAGTAAGTATCCACTAAAAACCCTTTTTGAGCAGATATTCAATAAAACTCTACAGTGTATAAGACTCCATGCTGAGGAAAGGGCTGACAGTGATTATACCAAACTTCAGTCCCTTGGATAGGTAATTACATGTCAGATGTCATATAATGAATCGATGAGTTATGCAGTGGAAAGATGAAAGTGATCTTAAAGGACTTAGTAGGAGATAGGTTGAATGTTGGTCAAGGCAGGAAGTGAAGAGGCCTTGCATGATGTCCATTTATCTTCCATCTAACGGTTTATATGCATGATGTCCATTTATCTTCCATCTAACCTATCTCATATTGTAGTCCTAATACTCAAGCTGCTTAAAAGGTATGTATCATTGGCCTCTCCACCATCCTCTGACATACAACACATCAAATTGAAATTTAAATAGAATTCATTGACTTTCTTATGTTCTTTCAGGCCAGAAAGTTAAGATTTTCAACTATTAACTCTTCCCTCGAATTATCTTATCAGCAGCAAATTCTCTATTTTTACTCTAATCTCTCGCATTTTCCCCTTCTTCCTATTTTCTCAATTACCTGTTTTCTCAATTTACTATTTCAATAGAAATAGTAAATTTGAAGACACTTCTGAAAATAGAAATTTTTTTACAGTGTTGTAAAACATTATTTTATGATCACAATAATACCAACCTTTATTTATCGAACTACCCACTTCATTTCCATGTGGACAGACTATCTTCAGTAGCTGGTTTCTTTCCAGTCAGTTGTTCATACTTACATATCATTCATTTTCCACTCAGAAAAATCATTCCTGAATACTTTCCTTAACTTATATTTCTCATGTAAATACCATATACTGTTCTTTCTTACCATGTTAGTTTCAAATTCACCTATAAGGTTTATGCCCAACCTTACCTTGGCTACTTAAGTGAGTTAACACTCTAAATGGGGTAGGGTATATGAATCATAATAGTTTCAACATGAAAACTTGACTGATTTAAGTTTCTTTCATTTCTTTGATGTTCAGAAAGATTTACATTGTACTGATTTACTGATTTGGTTTTCCCGGATTAAAATGACACTTAATTGTTTTTTTCATAAACTTTTTTTGGTAGAACTAAAATGTTAAGACATAATCTCCATATTTCCAGTAACCATAAAGATTGAATGTAGGCTTTTGGTTAACTGCAGAAATCCTCACAAATGAATGACACAAAATATTAATCTTCCTTTAAAATAACAAGGTGTCTAATTTTTCATGAAGAACTCAAAGTGATACAAATTCTGTTTCATTCTGCATGGAAAAATAAATACACATTTTAATTACATGATATCCAGCATCAAAATCCAGGGGATCTTCACCTCTTACACTAACAACACCACTTATAGGATCCACTCCAAAAGAGTTTGCTCCTTTCTTTGGTCCAGATAACTGTGTCTCAATGGTGTACTAGAAAAATAAAATATGTATTACTCAAGACTGAATAAATGAGAAGGCATGGAAGATCATTAAGACATGATACTGGGGCAAATATATAGAAAGTTATCTATCTTCACACTGATTAATTTCAGTTTTTCTTTATGATCTACTAGCATTAGAACCACTGACATTATCAGAATAAAGGAAAAACAATATGGTTGTTTAGCCTATGAACATAACCAAAATATTTGCTATTTTTTAAATAGAACTGAACAACCCTTTACAGTTTTCTAAGATAAGTTGTTAAAAGCTTTTTTTTTTTTTTCTTTTAACGGAATCTCACTTTGTCGCCTAGGCTGGAGTGCAGTGGTGTGATCTCAGCTCACTGCAAGCTCCGCCTCCCAGGTTCACGCCATTCTCCTGCCTCAGCTTCTCAAGTAGCTGGAACTCCAGGCGCCTGCCACCATGCCCAGCTAATTTTTTGTATTTTCAGTGGAGACACGGTTTCACCGTGTTAGCCAGGATGGTCTCGATCTCCTGACCTTGTGATCCGCCTGCCTTGGCCTCCCAAAGTACTGGGATTACAGGCATGAGCCACCGTGCCCAGCCAAAAGCTTAATTTTTATTAAGTTTTTAATATTAATTTAATTCTGCAAATTAATACAACGCTAAAAGAGTGTAGAATAAACTATCACTATCATTAAAAGTATACAAAATAAACTCATTATCATTTTTAAGAAACAAAATAATTATAATGATATAAACCCATTTCAAGTGTTACCATTTCAAATATTAATGCAGCTTATAATTTATCTTGCTGCCACTTCTTAGAATAGATAAAAGTAGGTAAGTATAGCCTCAAAAGTATCTGAAAACTATTTAGTTTGGAAGGAGGTAAAATTTCATTGAAGAAAAGTTTAATTACTTCTGTGTGTTTTTTTGTAATCTGATATGATTTCTAGCCTCTAAAAATAGAACTATTTCTCAAAACAATGAATTTTAAAACAATCACCTGTTTGGTTCCTATTATGTTTCTGAAAATGACACAAGTGGTAATAATTACTTTCAGCTGGACCACAGCATTTTAAAAAATTTATTGAAAAGACATCATGTAATGGGATAGGTCTTGTGTTTCTAAACAATTTCATATTGGCTGGTCCACAACAAAATATTTTTGGAGTATCCCACAGGGATTTTGAATACTTTGACTGACAATGGCACATCTATCACTGAAGGTTAATGGAAGGAAAAAATATCTCTTAAAATTGTGAAAATCAAACACAAGGGGGATTAAGCGACTTCCCCAGTATTATAGCACTAGTTGGTGGTAAAGCCATATTTAGCCCAAGTCATCTGACAACCCCACCGCCATTTGGTGCTCCATTACTTTATACTGTGAGTTACTACATTAGAAGTAGTAAACTATTTCAATACATGTTCAAAAAGAACAGCTGCAGAGCAAGCATGCTGACTTTTGTAGTCCATTGCATCGCTAAAGTCTCCAAAACAAACTTTATAGGTTCTTTTCATTTTGCCAAATCTCTAAGAGACTTTACAACCATGAATCAATTAAGAGAAAAAGCAAGTCTCTTAGGGTTAAATACTTAGGAATTAGGATACTGAAACATCAAAAAATATATAATCACATTCATATGTGTCATTGAAATAGCTCGGAAAGAGAAATAGTTCTGATCAGCTTCCAAAAGGCAAAGCCACAGTTTTGCCTCAGCATTGACATCTTCCTCCCAGTCCTCCGCCTCAATTAGAAGTCATGTAATTTTCCTGTATGCCTCAAGAAAATAGCTTCTTCTAAAAATGCCATTTTCAATATTAACATGAGTATTGCATCCTGGTGGTTGTAAACTTCATACAGTCTTTAATTATCAAACTATATTAACTGTCCTTGAAAACTTTTTTAAAAGGATTGCACTTTACGCTGAAGTGATAAATGCATCTGGCACAATGATCACCACCTACATTCAGCCAATCACCATTTGCGAAGTCCTCATCTGTGGCCGTCACTCTATAAATGAACTGAAATAATGGATAGTCCTCATCAATTTCTAAGGTAGCTGTGAAGCAGAAATCAACAAGTTGCATCAGAAAATTAAAGTATACTAGGCATTCATTATCTCTTTATATAATAAAAACAGAACAACATTAATTTCGGATTGGATTCTGAGTCTGGGATAATATTCTAATATTTTAAGATAGTAATTTATATTTTTCTGACTTTTGTGTTTTTCCCTCTGGCTTCTGATCATCCTCCCTGCCCTTACAGAGTGCCTTTTCCTTACTTCCTGGCACTATTTGAGGCAACTATAGCTTAATGAGAAAGAACATGATATATGCGCTGACAAACTGTCCTGTGGGAAGCCAGAGTGGTAGCTTCATAAAATATTTCTGTACAACAATTTCTAGACCTGTTTGGGTCTTAAGGGGGAGGAACTCTGTTTCTTACAAAAGCACATGTGTGAACAGCTGATTAACATCCAGCTCTCACACACCTCCTAACATTTTCCCACAGCCTTGAGCATGGGTGAAAAGCCCAATCTACAATATAACATGGATGCAGTGACCTCAGGGAAGAAGTGGGTAAAATTGTTCCATTTGGAGTAATAAGACGTTTTAAAATTTCTTATTTCTTACACATAGAAATGTGTAGACCAAATTTATATGTTATTATAAACATAAATTTTAACAACTTGCTCAACTAAATTTAATTTTTTCAAATGTAGTTATGTTTAAAGTTAATGACTAGGTGGTTTTTGAGTAGCTAAAGATAATGGTGGTTACCCAGAACTGTGTCTCCCAGTATTTTCTCCAAAAACAATACAGAAAAAAGAAAAAACAATATTACACAAAAGCCATGCCCTCAGCATAAATTGAAGACAGAATATGACCAAACCTTATCATAGCTTTAAGTAAATTTTAACATGTCGTGTTTCCATCCGACCATGAGCCCTCATGGCAAGCCAAGAATGGCCCAGAAAACTACAGGTATGAGAAAAGGAGAAAGCTGATATGATGTAAAATTATTTCCAGAAAGAGTAAGTCTATTCAAAGTGTAAAACAACAGGCCAGGCGCAGTGGCTCATGCCTGTAATCCCAGCACTTTGGGAGGCCAAGGCAGGTGGATCACCTGAGGTCAGAAGTTCAAGATCAGCCTGGCCAACATGGCGAAACC